AGAATGCACGAGACAAAATTCTCATATATGAAAGTTTAAATTAATTTATAATAAAAATAAAGACTTACGATCATAATTTCTTCCGTATGTCTAATCTCTAATGATTGATTCTCCGCCCCGATTCTCTAAAGAAAGGAATGGGGCGGGAATAGAGAGAAAAGCTTCATCAGGATGGGGATGGAGTTATCACATTCGAATAGGTTTTTCATCCTCGTTTCTACCCTCATTTTCCATTTTAGAAAATAGAAAGCAATTTTGAGTTCCTCCCCACCCCGTTCCATCCCTAATAACAACATATTAATTGATTCTTTTAATATAAAAAATACAAAATATGAAGACGTGAGATCTCACATTGACTAGAGAGTGAAACGAAGTGTTTTTTATAAAGTGTGGAAACTTTTCCCTAGTGGACACGTTTTAAAACCATAAGCTAACGAGGATATCTAATGGACGATCATTTGTCATCAAAGCTCTACGTGAAGGCCCATTTAGGGCCCAAATGGCCCAGTTATTATTATTTTTAGTTAATTAAAAATTAGAAAATGTTTTTCCGAAAATATTTATTTTTTCAGCGAACGAGCCTACCTAATTAAATACGTATATATTTTAAATTAGATAAATAAATAATTCAACATTTATTATCGGACAGTAATTTGACACTTGGCAGAGAATTGAGAATAGAATGCGAGTGGTGAGTGAACAAATCACGTGCAATGTCACATGCGGATGGCTCTACATAACCCAATATTATTCCAATTCAATTTAACTTATTTTGTCGTATTTATTATTTATCATTTTTTAAAATTAAGGAGCATAATGTTTCGTTATTCTCTCAAATTAATGTGGGATCTCGTAATCCACTCTTTCGGGATCCAGTATCCTTGTTAGCGCTTGTTCTCCTATTCAATCGATGTGGGATCTCACAATCTATCTTTTCGAGACTCAACATTCTCGTTGTCGCTCGTTTTTCTCTCCAGACGATGTGGGATCTCTCGTCTATATTTATATATAAAAAATGATGAAGATGCTCTCTCCTCCATTCGAGTTTTGATTCTCCATCTTATTTGGGTAGGTCCCCACGAGCAGATATTAATCTATAAAATGAAAAATATATTTATTTAAAATTTGGAAAATGATAAAGCAATAAATTATTACCAAATACAGATGAATATATTTTAAAAAGAAACATAAAGCATCAAATAAAGAACAATAAATTAGAACTTTACCAACCTAAATAATTGAATTATTTTCCCAATTTACCTACTTACATAATTCATGCCCATTGCCCTTTGATTCAATGTCTTTAAAAGGAGAAAAAGAAGCTGTGAGGGGGCATAAAATATTAGGGCTGCCCACTCAAAAGCCTGGGTTTTGATCCTTAGTGACGTGTCAAATTCCAATAGGATGTCACCTTCCTAACCAGCTATCTACCTGTCAGCTTACTGCTGGACACGTGGCCCCATCGCAACAGTGGGAAAAATTAAAGCTCATATTTGACCAAACCAGTTAAATCATTTTATTCTTCATTTTTTCACTAAAAAAAGATCTCTTTATTTATTATTGTGCTTAGCTGGCAGGTTAATTCATAAAATATTAATTTTTTTTATTACAAAAAACTTTTAAAATTTATTAAAAAAAATACATTTAATATGTTTTTAAACGTTGTATTTATAAGAACTTCAGATCCCACGTCGGTCGGAGAAAATATCGAAACATTGCTTATAATTGTGTATAAATTTTTTGCTAATAGATGCGTTTTAAAACCGTAAGATAAAAAAAAAATAAATAACGGGTAAACATGGATAATATCTTACAGTGATGAACTTGACTAATACAAATAATACCGAGACAGACAGACACCTAACAGTGTGCCAGCAACAACACTGCTTCCGTAGAGGGTAAATTTGTAATTTAACTTTTTAGTTTTGGAATAATGTATATAGTTTAATTAATTACTATTTATCATTTAAGTTAATTTTTTTCCCTCCTACCACTCTATCACTACGAGATTAAAAAAACAAATATTTAAGAATATTCCAAAATTATTCCCAAAATTTATTAGAAAAGAAGTATTGACAAAAGGGGAAATAAAATTAAAACTATGATCACATTATACAACTAATATCATCATTAAAGGCAAATCATGATACCAAACCCCACAATAAATAATTAAATTTATACACATTAGTTTGTAAAGAAATAATTTTAATTGTAATTAAGCAATCAGGTTGGTATCAATTTTTCATAATTAAATTAATTCATTGTACAAAATACACAATTAAATATTTTGTTTTATATGTCTAAATAGAAATTGATGGTTCATATAAATTACATTAAAATATAAATAAAGAAGGAAAGTAATTAGTAATTTGTGTTAATTGTTGGACGTATATAATTCATATACATTCAATAGCTATCGAGTCTCCTTCAACATAATTATTGAACTTATAATATTAATTCCTCTTCAATTATTATTAATTATTATAAATTATTACAAATTGTTGGGTAGTTTCATATTTATATTTTTACCTTTAATCTTATGATCATAATAGTAACAGTGGAGTGTTTTTTTTCTAATAATAGTTGTTAAACTATTTTTACCAATAGTAGTGATAGAGGTAATTTGTAAGATTTAACCATTTAAAATTTTGAAAATAAGAAGAATCACGAGGGTATAGAGGGCGATCTCGAAGATAGGATCAACTAAAAAAATTGAAAATTATTACATGTACTAATTTATTATATATAAAATATATAACATTTAATTTTATATATAATAAATTAGTTTAATTTTTTAAAATAAAAATGTTTGAAAAAAATTGAATAAATAAAAACAAAATAATTAACGATGGTTAAAAGTGCGCATTAAGGTGGGAAAAAGGAACGATGGAGGGCACTATGGTACTTTCCGGAATTACTTCGTGGAGCTCTTATCCAGAAAATAATAATAATAAATCAAAGCAAGAAAACGGGCTTCAAGCGAATCTCGCAGAGCAGATTAAAAGAAGAAGAAAGAGGAATCGGAAGGCCGTTAGAGGAAATTAAAAAAGAATCCTCTCCCAGAAATGGAGCTCCGGCACCGGCGTTAACATTCTTCCATAGGAGGTGGTAGCTTAAACAGTCAAGAACCGGCAAAACTCCCTTGCATTTTTGTCTATCATCTCCGGAAATCACAACATCCTTTTGATTTGATTTCTTTTCAGTGAACTCTTAATCGTCTTCTTCATCCATGAGGCAAGGCAGAGCCACAGATCCATTGGCGGTGGCGCAAACAGTTCATGAACCAGTTAAGGAAGTCCGATTCAGAGGTGTTCGGAAGCGTCCATGGGGCCGATACGCCGCCGAGATTAGAGATCCCTGGAAGAAGACACGCGTTTGGCTCGGCACCTTCGATACGGCGGAGGATGCTGCTAGAGCTTACGACGCCGCTGCTTTCTCTCTCCGCGGGCCGAAGGCGAAAACGAACTTTCCGTTGCATCCGTCGGCGATCTCTGTTCATCAGCAAATTCATTTCTCGCAGGAGCCTCATGATTCCCGCGGATTCTGCAAGATTAGCAAGTCTCCTGTCAAAAGACCTACATCGAGTAGCCTGAGTTCCACCGTGGAGTCTTTTAGCGGACCGCGGGTTTCGATTCCGGCTACATCGGTTCCGAAGCTCCGCCGGAAGTCCCTGCCTCCGGTCTCGCCCGACGATTGCCACAGCGACTGCGATTCGTCGTCTTCCGTTGTTGAGGACAGTGAGGAATATGCTCAGACGCCGTCAATTCACAAGGTGTTGCCGTTCGATCTGAATCTACCTCCTCCACTGCAGTCACTGCAGGACATCGATATATCCGGTGATGATCTTCAAGTTACTACTCTATGTTTCTGATAATGGTCTGCATTTCAATCACAAATAGCAAACGGTTCATTCTTCTCCCACGCCTCTTCCATTATCTATCTAATTTTCTTAATCGATTGAGCAGAACCTTAGTCGTAACTTTATATCAACATGCTTGTTGAATGAGAAAATTTGCTTCTCAACTCCTTAATTTCTCAGTTCATGGCGTATTCTAGCTTAGCATCTGGATTTTAGCAACACAAATGCTCTGAATCTTTGTTTCCGCCTCTGTGTTGAATGAAACGAAAACTCATGGATTCTGCCAGGGTTTTACATTTTGAACTGATTATCTCGTTAATCATATGAAATAACTGTTCATTTGATTAGAACACAACATCGAAATCTCTTGATCTCTTCGATCTCGTTCAACATGTTCAATCATCTCATAGGAATCATCAGCGTCATTAAACCTTCACTGCATTAGCATTAGAGATTGAGCACTTTGAAACGAGGAGGTTTCAATTTCAAATTCATTTCTATTTGGGGATTCTTCAGAATTAAGTCTCTGTTGAACATCCCCCATTGGATTCTCTTGTTCTATGACGTTTCTATAGTTCCTTTCATCTCTTTCTCGATTCTCTCTCTCAACCGCTTTTCCTCCATGGGATTATTGCTTCTGGTACGCATAACTATGGTAGTCGTAGTCAACTTTTATCACTTTTGCACATGTTAGAGACATTAATACATCATCATTTCATGTTCAAACTTTGATATAAATCAAATGTCTTATAAGCATGCTACCACATCGATGGGACTGGATTCAAATGCTCATATAATGTTAGATTTCTTCCCATGTATATTTAAATTAAACTCTACCTCAAATAATCCAGTAGTGTACAAAGTGAGGGCTAAGGCCGCCCAAAAAGGAGGAGAATATGCTACTTTAGTTATCATCTTTTTGTTTGCCTTTTGAATTAGGGTTGTAAAATTATTCCAAGTTGACTATTTTTTGAGCATTCCGATTAGGAGGAGGTCGGAATGCGACCTATTAGACACGTTCAACCTGTAAAAGGCATGTTGTTGAAAGAAATTGGCATCGAGTTAACCATTTCCCGACCCTTCTCTCCTAAAGTCGGTTGTGTTCGTTAAATAAACAAATAAAAGTCACACATGAATATCTAAGTCATATAACTAAATATTAGATAAAACATATCGTACAAGGCTTATACTAGTTGATGCATAGAATTAAGGTAGAAGGGAAAATCCATACTATTTACTAAGGGGTGATTATTATATTATATTTTAGAACGAAAACCTATTTTGACAATACTATTTTTCTAATAACTTTAAAAGCGTCCAAAATTTTAGGTATCAAAGGAACTTCGAAAGTACGTTCTTGACCATATAAGCTGCGACAATCTGGTTAGTTTTTTGGGTTGGATGAAATGAGTCCCAAAAGATGTACTTGTTTGCATTTGTGCAGGTGAACATATTGTTTCGATTGCAAGCATAGCCCATCTCAAACATCCCCGTTGCACAACAAGCTGTTGATGTCACATCAAACCCTGTAAAAAAATGGAAGGACAAAATAGTAAATTTATTAAAATCGTAGAGACTAATGGTTTTTTAAACTATAATATATCGGTTTAGTTTAAGTTTCTTACCGTAAAGAGAGGGCTTTTTGATCATGTACATCAGAACGTTATACGGATTCGAAAACACCAACTCGAGCTCGGGAAGCTCCTTGTTGAGTTTCACTGTCAAAGCGTTGAGTTTGTTGTTGAATTCCACAGCCACATTGTTGTAGCTCTCCACACAATCATCCTTGCCACGGAAAACATTTCTCGTTCTTTCCAACGGCAAGCACCCCATCGGCGGCAGCCCGCCGAGCGAGATTTTCCGAGCGCCGAGACCGTGAAGCTTCTCGATAAACCCGCCCGCGATCCCGATAAGAAAGTCCTGGTACTGCTGGATGTTGTAGTGGGAAGAACGCCCTGGCATTGTGTAGTAATTCTCTAGAAAGTCATTGGTTCCTAAGCTCATCAAATACAAAGCTTCGTTTATTGTTTGGTTTGCTGTGGCTGAGCCTTGATATGCTCTCAGCTTCGTTTGATACTCTTTGTAGTATTCAAGCTGCTTCCATAATGATATCACTGACTGCAACATTACAAAATGGTTTCGCATCAAAACAAGTACAGTGACCAAAATAAACGTTCGAGTCCAAAATTACCAAAACGTCAGAAGTGGCATTATCGTAGCCAGTTCCAGCCGAAGCAAAAGTGACCCGAGTGGCGAAATCCGAGATGTTATAAGCCGGATCCAAGTAAGCAGGCACAATGGGTTTGAGTCCAAAAGCCTCGGAAATGAAGTCGGTCGGAATTCTCCCATTGGAGAATCTCCCAGTTGCCTTCCCGCCCGCAAAATCCCGACCATAAGGGAAGAAATTGCTTCTGGCAATAGTGGGAATGAAGTTGTTATTTCCAGCGTCAACCGAGGAGTCACCGAACACGATAATTGACGAAATCCTAGCTTCGGCTATCGTGTTCGGGGACGAAAGGAAGGAGAGAAGGCATAAGACGAAGACGATGTAAGCCATAATTTGGTTGTATGTATGATGTTGTTGAGAATAGACATGAGAAAGAAGAAGAAATAAATATAGGTGTTGAGAGAAGTTGTTGGGAGAGTATTAAATGTGGTAACAAATATTAAATGGAATCATAGGCCACAAGGTTGTAAGCTCATTGCCCACAAATTCTAAGCTTTTGAGTGCACACTCGGAGGTTGAAGAAAGAGTCACTTTCAGTGATTTCCTCCCCAACCACCTTATGCAACACGTCGTAATGAACAAATGAAGAAATCTGAAAGGCTTCATTTATGAATCTGGTTGGAACCGCCCATGATAACGACAATATTATGGGTGTCGGATATGAACAGAAAAGGAGGTGGAGATCGGCTTCCGTGATCGCCCTCTTTTTACGATACACGAGCTGGGTCATGTTGAGCTCGATGGATAAGATATCAACTGTCATTTCAAAAGTTGATTGTTCGATCTTTTATCTTTGGAATCTTGAAAACAATACACTATGGATCTCTACATTGTAGTGAAAGTATCTAACGTTAGCTCGTAACAATTTAGTTCTTGCAGTTTTTTAATCTCGTAACAATTTAGTCTACGAGCGTTGATATGAATAACTTATTCCTTCTACTTTAAAGTGTTTTCTCGTTAGCCTCACGATTTTAAAACGCGTTTGCTAGAGAGAGGTTTCTATTCTCTTATAACAAATATTTCGTTCTCCTCTCCAATTAATGTGAGATCTCACCGTCCACTCCCTTTCAATCCAACGTCCTCCCACCCAAACACAAATTTACACAAAGTTTGTCAAATGGGCTTTCCTAGTCGATGTTTAGAAACCAAGGGAGGATTGGGCCTGGCCCTAGGGTGTGTCCCCAACTTTGAAGGGCAAGGTGTCTTTGCATAGGGATGGCTTCCCCACACAAGGGCAGCTATTATTCTTGACCTACCATTTACGGCCATTTAATTTAGTCAACTCACTTTTCTCCCTCCTATGCTTTCACAGCTAACACTCCAAAATAATGCATCTATAAATGTAAACACATATACGGTTACGTGTAAGATTCAATCGCGAAATACTCGAAATGCGTAGATGCTAGTTTACGTGTAGGAAGGTTATTAGGTAAAATAAAAGCACGTTTGAAAATTTATGGATGAAATCGTCCGTATCTTTCTTACTTACCCTCGACTTCAATATCACAATGATTCAATTAAATTCGTCGACAAGATTCACCAACTTGTGGTGACCACTTTACAACTACTCGAGATATAAAAAAAAAAAAATCGTACAGAAATATCGTAGATTCATAATTAAAAAAACAACGATAAATTAATCATGAATAATGTTAGATATTCTCGATAGGAATTAAAAATGATAAAAAAAAAACAACATTTAGTATACTCAATCGAAGTATTTCAATGTCGTGTTAAGTCAACGAAACGTGGGAAGAAGAGTTTGGAGCAAATCGTTGACTATAATCTGATTGGTCTTCTCTGTGGGATGAAAGGCATCCCAAAATACATATTTGGTTGCATCACTGCAAGTCAATGAGTTTTCTTGGCTGCACAAATAGCTCATCTCAAATGTCCCTGTTCCACAGCATGCCTTTCCAGCCACCTCAAACCCTAAACCATTTTAAAAAAGACTTAAAAGAGAGAATTTCCGACGGGTAGGTCGATCGAAATCTCGCATTTATCACCGTTAAGTCTTTAATAAGGAAGAAAGAATAATACGTATATCAAAATTTCGAGACATGTTCTAGTCATATGATACTGACTGTTCACGAGCTACTAATCTAAACATGAATCATTTCGAGACTCGAATATATCAACATAAAAGTGGAAAGAGAGAGATGGGAACAATATTTGGTTTAGGGTTGGTAGAGTCTTAAAAGATAGTGTTGCAAATGGCACACGAAGAGGAGATGGGTCACTAAATTTGGCTGCCTGCTCTGTTGAACATATTAATGGCTATCACCTAAGTTTTGATGACAAAGGCGTTGCTCTGCCGTGTGGTTTGTTCCATAAATGGTGGTTTCTCCTACCAAACTAACTTTACATACTATCCTTCTCATGGATTTCTAGGGTTGGTGCAATGTTAGAGAATTTAGTTTGTCTACACTTTCAAGTGATATATATATATACACACACTATATACATATATAGTATACGAGACACACGTCACTGTGTCGTTTTGTTTGAAGCAATCTTTTGTGGGGTAACTCTAAACCCGAAAAACTATATCGATGATCTATAATTAACCATCTTTTTCTCTCAAAGCAACACGTCCAAGTCATAGAAGAAGTCAAATCTAGATCAAAATTTTGGTCATAATCTTAATTACGGGATGTTACGAGAAGTGACCCAAAACCGACCACAACTACTATAGAAATTTTCAACCCAATGAATTTTTAGTCAAGAAAACATTGTGTGATAAAATGACGGTGTTGAGGATGGTTGGGAGGGAGTCCCACATTAGCTAGGAGATGACCATGGTACAGGCTTTTTGGAGAAACCAAAAACAAATCCACGAGAGCTTATGCTAAAAGTGGACAGTATCGTACCATTGTGAAGGGTCATGATTCCTAATAGACCGTGACGTCAATATGAGCATAACTCAACTGTTAAGACATCGCTATATTTTCTAAAAGTTAATGGTTAGAATCTTACCCTACAAACAAGACGCTCAAGAAACATAAAGTTGGGCGATAATGTAAATAAAAATCTCAAATAAAGGCAGGATCTTTGTTACCATATAAGTAAGGTTGGGTGATGATTTGATAAAAAATGGCGTAAGGATTTGAGAAGAGCATTGTAAGACCAGGGAGCTGCCTATTCAAAGCCCAAACAAATCCCTCCAACTTGGCGTTGAATTCCAAAGCCACCAGGTTGAATTTCTCAACGCACTCGAAATTACTCATAACATTTGTTGCTCTTTCAAGTGGCAAACACCCCATTGGAGGCAGCCCTGAAATTGATATTTTTCTAACTCCAAGGCTGTAAATTTCTCCGATGAACTTTCCGGCGAGTTGCAAAAGGAAATCCTCATACTGTTGAACGCTAAATTGGAGTCTCCGGCGAGGAATTGTGTAGTAATTTTCTAAGAAGTCGTTTGTTCCTAAACTTACCAAATATAATGCTTCTTTTATCACTTCATTTGCCTTCTCATTCCCAAGATAGCCTCTTAATTTGGCTTGATACTCCTTGTATAGCTCCACTTCTCTCCACAATGGTATCACGTTCTGTAGCGTTTAAAACGACTATATGTCAAATGGGTTCTCATATTTTGTACAAAGATCGAAACTTTTTGTCTTGAAAAGCTAAAACGAGAAAAAGTCATCTCAATTGAAAATGACCCAAAAATGAAATTGTTTAGAACTTACTAAGACGTCGGAGGTGGCATTATCGAAGCCAGTTCCGGCGGAGGCGAAGCAGACACCGGTGGCGAAATCGGCGATGGTAAAAGCAGGATCCAAGTAAGCGGGAATGGTTGGTTTCAAACCAAAAGCTTCAGAAATGAAATCCGGCGGAACACGGCCGTTGGAGAATCTTCCGGTGGGTTGTCCGCCGTAAAAGTCACGTCCATAAGGCTTGAAATTACTTTTCAACAGTGTCTTAATGGCATTGTTATTGCCGGAATCCACAGAGGAGTCTCCAAAGACAATAATGGCGGGGACCTTGGCTTCAATTTTGGAGCCCCATGTGAAGAAAATAATGGAAAAGATAATAGAGACCAAACCCATTATTGAAGAAACAAAAAAAGATGGTTTTTTTTGGGGAAAGAAATTGGAAGAAGGAAGTGAAGAACACTGAAATATAAATTGGAGGGTTAAATTTGGTTATAAATTGTGGAGAGAGAGAGGTGTAGTTTGGTGGGAATTTAATGATTTTGATGGCGGTTGGTCCAACAAATCTACATGCAACACCAAGCCAACATTATACTATATGGTTTTGACAGGTAATTTAGCCATGTCGTGGGGTTTTGCCAGTTATTGCCGCCGCCGACGGCTAGTTTTGGCCTGTAATTAAGCCTTCTGGTGGGGTTTTTTCAGTTATGGCCGCCGCCGGCGACGGCGAAGGAGGCCGGAGTTGTAGCACTTTTAACAATCTTATTATGTTTTAGTAGGCTTTGTAACTAATTATTCCGACATTAATCTTAGCGGGCGGTTTGGTTTAAAGGTTTCATAGATTTTTAAGAACCTTATAATGTTTAGTAATAATTTACCTCAAAATTTGAGGATGAAATTATAATTAAATTATATTTTTGTTTACTTTCAACAATTATAAAAGGCAACATAAAAATAATAAAACTTTAAATTACATTAATTTGGAATTTCATTATGTTATATATTTGTTGCATCAATGAGAACACGGACCCATATTTTACCATTTCTTCGGAATTGTCCGATTATAGCCCTACGCGCTGCTTCAATGGCTCGATATGAAAGACGACTAGCTCTACAACTTTGAGTGCCATATCTTCCAAAACCAAGATGTGTACCGTCTAGTTTGCAACCCCTACTACATCTTTCTTTACGAGATTTACTATTTCGTACGTTTCGGATATAACACGTTCCTTTTTTTGTCAAACATATCTAATTATTTAGAATTTAAATATATTAAAAAAAAAGAAGGAAACATTCTTGTCTATTTTTGTTCTAGTTTTGGGAATTTGTCACTCAGCTCCACTACTTATAATCCTCCGTGGCAAGACTCTTGCTCGACTCGGACAACACCGTAAATGCTAGTGTCATACAAGTCTCCCGATTAAACTAGAGATGTGTCCCATTGAACTAAGGTTGTTGCTCGAGGTTGACTCAAGTCAAGAAATGAAGTAAAACTCTGTTATGAAGCCTTAAGATCAGGTCTTGGCTCCAAAAAAAAAGGGCCCTTTCTACGCAACGGAAAAACAAAATTAACCCATTAATAGAAAATTAAAGAATAAATAATAAAAAAGAAAAGGGTTTATAAATCTCCAACGTTATTTCATTTCCCATTTGAAATCAAAGAGATTAAATAAAAAAGGTAATCAAATGGCCATGCCAATTTCTAAAGGGCTCTCATTTCTGGGGCTTGTCGCCATCTTCATTTGCTTACTATTCATCGAAGTCGCCGACGCCCATTCCGGCCACTCCGGCACCCACGCTGTCGAGAAGCCCTGCCCCGGCGGAGGGGAACACTGTCATCACAGCGGCCGCATGGCCGCACAAACCGTAGACGAGGATGACGATTTTGATGACACGTATAAAGCTCCGGTGAAAGGTAGGATGGCAATGTCCATGTCGGAATCCACCGAGGATGCTGAAGAACGGGCGGTGGAAATGGAAATTGAGACAACTTCTCCAGAGGAACCGGCGAACCAAAAAGTCGTCGTCTTGGGGCATTGACTTTATTATTTCCATTAAAAAAAAGAAAAGAAAAAAGAGAGGATTATTTCTTAATCCCCTTTCATAAATCAGCTTCCTTTTTAAGTGATTTAACATGATAATTATGGTTTGCTAATTTGGGTTGTTTTTTTTTTGGTTTTTTCTGGTATAAAGATTGAATCTTTATGACCATATTGTTTGGGGTTGTGGCTAATTAGATGATATCTATGGTGCATCAATCTTTAAAGTTCGGTTTTTTTTTTTTTTTTTTTTTTTTNCATCAGGAAGGCCTCAAGAGTTGCTATTGCTACAAGATTGTTCTTAAAGACGACTCCATTGTTGATAGTCGTTTCATGCACGAAAAATTTGCAGTTACCGATTTGCCCGAAGCTCCATTGGTGATCGCAACGCCCATGAAGGTTAGTTCCTTAAGCATATCCAGTAGGCTAAGAGACTGAGATTCAGTTCCAAGCATAGCATATACTCGGTACAGGTTCCATTGCATTGCCTGATGCACAGTTAATCAGCTACGTTTCTAAGTGGCATGTTTAGGACCCTTATAGATGCCTTAAAGTAGTTTTAAACATCTGTCGATGAGTTCCCTAATTTGTATTCCTATTTCGAGTTCCTTAATGACTCTCTACTTTTTTCATCAATTGTAATGTTAAGGAAGCCAAATATAATCTCAACGACATATAATCTTAAATGAAAAATTAGTTATTTTTATAACTTAGCCTTTTATGAAGCTGCTGATAAAAATCCAACTCTTTTTCTAATCAAACTCGCAGAAACTTGTAAGCCTTTACATTATACACGACAATGTCACGGAATAACCTCACCATCCAAAAATCAAAATGTAGAAACTTATAACACCTTGCAAAGCCCATGGTGCAACGTTTTTTTTTTTTTTTTTTTTTTTTTTAAATAGAGTAATCAATTATTGGTGGGTGTATGATTGATTCATGTTCAATCCCGAGCAATTCAATAAAGTTTGATTTGATTTGATATGATATGTTCTTTATGTCTCTTCAGGATAGAAACTAATTATATATTAGAAAGAATTCCGATACCTTTTCTTCGATAAAGAAAAGATTACTCAATCTATTTTTGTTTTTGTATATATAATAACCACTTGCACCTGAGAAGCTTTTCTTCGATAAAGAAAAGACGATTTGAATATATGGGGCATGTTATTTTATTTAGGCATGTTATTTTATTTGAAGGGTCTGAATTAGCCCTCCGATCGTATTTCTCTCGAGATTAAAGAAAAGATGGGAACTTTAGACCATGGAAAAGGTAAGAGAAAGAAGAAAAAGCGTATAGTGTAGATAAGGAGGCGTGCAAAGGGTTTGGAGAAAAAAGGGGAGATATGAACAAAGGCTGCATTCCTTCCTCTCCACAAACACTAAATGGAAGCAAATTACGTGATCTGCTGCTGCCTGCACAAATGGAAGCCACATTTTCAGAAACCAAAACACAGAGCAGAACTGAGCTGAACTGAACTAAACTTGAAGCTATACACAAAGGAAGGCCTTTCTGATAAAGCAATTCTAACATCAGTTTCAGCTCTTTCCGAGTGGAACAGAGTCACTGCAACATGCCCCATCATAGCAAAGAGACAACCACAAAACAATCAACTAAAAGGGTTAAGAGCGAGAAAGTAAATGGTGATATGATATGATATTTATGAGATTGTATAACATTAGTGATGAGTCAAGTTTGAACAATATTTGACTGGACTTGATGAGGTACACACCCCTAAAGAGTAATGTAAAGAAAAAAAAAAAAAAAATCACACCCATTAATCATACAAACTAAAGTTTCCCACCTCTCACCCCTCAAATTCAGTAAGACTCATCACATCTGACAAACCTTTTTTTTTTTTTTTTTTCAAAAAAA